TCTCTCTCTCTCTCTCTCTCTCTCTCTCTCTCTCTCTCTCTCTCTCTGGTGTATAGGCCTTTAGCTGCCTGTCTCATGTCTTAATACTTGGAAAGAGGAAATTATCTCTTCACTGACATTTTTTAGCAAATAGCTGCAGACTAAAGCTATGGTAAATGTTCTAACCACTTCCTTCCACTTTCCTTCCCACAGACTGCTCGGGACAGATGACGTCCTCTCCTCTCAGCTCTCCCACATCCCACCGGGGGATGCACCCATCACTGCTGAGCCCGACTTCTTTAGGCCACTCAGGGTCTCTGCACTCCCCCATCAGCACTCTGAGCTCACCCATGAACGGCCTGGGCTCTCCCTTCTCTGTCATCAGCTCACCCATGGGGCCACATTCCATGGTGTCACCCGGGATGGGCTACGGCCCCAGCATCAGCCCACAGGTAAGGCCACACTCCGAGACCCTCCTTCAGAGCTGTATTTAAAAAGAAGCACTCTCATTCAGAAGTCGTATTTGTGCTTCATAATTAAACATTGTTAAAAATCGTTCAATTTAACTCGTCCATTCTGTCTCGCTCGCTCTCTTTCCAGTACTCTCACTAGATCTGTCGTTTGTTCCATAAATAGGCCTGCACATCTCTTTGTCATTTTTAAAAAAGGCTCACAATTAAGACATCAAAGCTGGCAGTGTCCTAGTTTTCTTTGAAAGCCTGATCAACTTGAGTAAAATGGTTTTCAAGTTCACACATGTATGTGGGAAAAATTGGAGCATTGTCCTTTTTTCTCATTGATAACTGTACTGAGGTTTTTCTCCAGGCTTTTCACTCATTTTAAATTATAACGTTGTTAAATTTGAGGAAGTTAAAGTGGATTTTGAAGTGAATATATTGAATACAAACTGGGAAAAAAAACATTTTACTTTTTGAGCTTACAGCATTCATTTATCTAGTTAATGTTCATTTCTACTTTAATACATATTATGTAAATGTGTGTGTGGGATAACCTAAATTCTATTTTTTTAAAAAGACACTTTTATTAGAGATTTTCCACCAAAACATTAAATAATCCATCAACACAGGACAGAAAACATTGTTGAATGATTTTGCATAGTCTTTAAACTTACTGTTATTTGGTAGCAACAGTTGTCAGAGTCCACCCCGCAATCCAAACACCAAATATATTGGTTTAATACAGTAGTTTCCATTTTAGACAGTTTTCAATGAGTCAGTCATGATCATTCATATCTGTATCTGAGGCTTCATGTGTATTTTTATATCTGTATTTTCTGGACTGTGCAAATGCTGAAATTTTGAGTGCAGGTTTGGTTATTGCATTGACGAACAGTAGTGAGAGAAGCCTAGAGAAACCAGTTTTATCTTTACGCAGCACTGTTTATCTCTCTCTGGGTGGGAGGCAGTCATGGGGTCTGATGGAAGGTGATTTGAGTCAGACGGCATTTGTCACTTATGTTTAGCACTTGGCTGACTGGCTGTTTTCAAGCCCAGCCGGGTGGAATGGGGTTGCTACTCAGTTCATGACCCCTTTAAATACAGAGGGACAGAGAAATCAAATTTCCATTGATCTTTTGACATATAACAGGTCAGTGTAATGTCAATGTTACATCCTGTAAGTTTCAAAACTTTCTCGTTAGTTTAAAAACATCTTTTATTGAAACCAAGCTCAGAAAACGACTAATTTTGGAATGTGCCACTTTATAACGTAATAGTGTGGCTAAACACCACCTCCGCAGGAGAAGATCAAAGCCTGCTTCTACAGCACTGCCTCTTTAGCCCCGCCCACTGATACACTCTTGTAGTAGTAGGAGAGGAAGTACTAGAGACAAGCAAACACAGGATGTCATACAGATGACATTATAAGATTACAAGACATTGTATAGTGTAGGTTGTGAAAAATAGTCTTTGAATTGCCTTCCTTGTGATTCTAACATATCTAGATTGGACTCGAGCACTGTTGCGTCATGTCGCAAATCAATTTCTCTTTCAGGTCAGAAGCGGCACGAATGGTTGGAGTATGTCAGAAATAGAGCGGGACATCAGTTTACTTTCGGGGATTTGTTGTGTTAATCTGTGCTGCATCCAGTGTAGACAGAATCGCCGATTATAATGGGTTCTGTTGTCTATAGTCGTGTTGCGCCACTCACGTGGTAAAATTAGCAAAGAGCTCCAGATCGCGTCAGTGAAACACTTTGTTTGTTTGTTTGCTTTACTTTGCTATGGAATACGGTTTAATTTTTAAACAAGACAGTATGATGCAGGCTTTTTAGAGAGACTGAAAGTAAAGATGATGCAGTGCTGAGTCTGAATAGAGTGGATCCAACAGTAATGTCGCAACACTCAAGTGTGAGTAAATGTGCTTTTACCACTATTACATTTCCTGTTCCAGACCGTTTGATATATACTGAGTATTTATACCTTTTTAACCCAAATAACCCATGTTGTTTTCGGAGTACGTCACAGCAGCATCCATCTGTTATTTTAATAAGCAAAACTGTTAGCCAATCATAGCAGTGGGCATTTACTTGCGAGTCTTGAATGCGCCCCGTCTATAAAAACAGACCGTTCTGCAGAGAGGCTCAAAAACAGGATAGAAAATAGCCTATTACTTATAAATTATGATGATTTTTGATGTAAAATCACACTAACATTTGAAGTGAACCTCAATAAATACTTTCAGTTTCAGTTTAATTTATTTATATAGCACATTTAATAACGACAGAGCCAACCAAAGTGCTGCACAGAGAAACAGAATTAAACTAAAATCAATAAAACAAAGAAATAAAAGAAAACACAAGTTATAGTAAACTAAATTTAAAAAAATGCAGTTCATGGCCCCTTTAACCTCAGAGGATCTGGAACAGGCACCCCACTGACACCAACCGCCCAGCAACACACTGAAAATCCACAACGTGCAACATAAACAAGGCAAGAGTCAAGATCAATCATCATTTTGTTCACTAAATATTCGTTTTGGAGGTTTAACATCGGCTAATGTAACCACTTGCACTTTTTGTGCATCATTTTTACATTGGAGTCCTTAAAGTTAGTCAACAACGGGCAAGAAAGTTTTATCACTTATTTATTTTTTACTTTCATAAAGACCAAATTTATGTAAATTAATAACCATTAAGGATAAAAAAAAATTTCACTAAATTAAGCCCTTAATTAATTTATTTGTATATTAAATCACTTATTTATGTATTAGTTATATATATATATATATATATATATATTGTATATATTCATTGGCACCTCAGGTTTTTGTCTCAGATTTCAAGTGTTGTACCGCCCGTGTCATGGCACCTACTGAATATAAAACAATAGATTTTTGTTTTGTCTGGTTTAGTGTGTCTGTGTTTTAGTCTGTGTACAGTTTCACATAACAGCATCCACCTCTCTAAAACAGCATTCAGCTGGAACGCATTTACAATACACATTTATTTGAGTTGGACTGTGGCTTTCATGGATTATCTCTCTTTTCTTTTGAAATGTTCAGACTGGCCACACTTGGGGAGGTTGGTTTTGATAGAGACGACCTACAGTGATATATGCAAATGCTGTCAGCCGCCTGTAGACCTCAATCCCACCCATGGGCATCGCTAGGCGATTCTCCCCCCCCCCCACTAAAAATTTCGCAATTTGCTCCATAAGCTGTACACAAATTCATGATCGGCTCCTCCCCGTCTTTCAGAGCGTTCTTCAATCCACTGGCCGTGGTGGCGCAGAGTGAGAAACAGAGGACAAGGTGTGTGTTTATCCATAGATTGTTATAATATCTGCATCTGTGCAGTTCTTTGTCATAAAAACAGTTTACAAGATGTCATGGGGGAGCAATCGGTTTTCCCTTCTACAGTAAAGTTTTCGCTGTGCTCACCCCTCATCACACCACACATATGAATGCATACTTTATAAAATGTTGCTATTTTCATTTGAAAATTTAACTTTCAATATAAAACATATTACAGTGCTTGTGGCATTAACTACCATACAGTTATGCACAGAAATGATTGAAGACAGTGACAGACAGTATTTGAGCATAGCAAGAGGTTTGTACTAGAAATGCAAACAGTAAAATTGTGTGTGTGTGTGTCTGTGATCAGGAAGACTTCTATTTGGCTTATTCAGTACTCAAATATTATACCCATCTAACTTATGCAATAGAGTGGAATACTGCAATATGTTTAGTATACAACCCTAACCTATTAGTCAAACATTATTTTATTATATTTTATTTTTTATTATTATACCCTCATTGGGGGCTGAGCCCCCCTAAAATGAGAATCCTAGAATCGCCCCTGATCCCACCAACCCTGGCACAGCACGGACTCTGCCGTCTCCCAGCAGCTGGCACACATTAGGCAGAACATGGTTCGGTTTACACTTCCAGTGACAATCACCGCAGATATGCCACTCTTGTCAGCCCAAAAGAATCCCTGAACATTTGCTAGTTCTCGATCCAGCCTAAATGTTTTCTGAAGGTTCGATGTGTACTGTACTGAAAGACTGGAAGTTGTTACTGGAAGCTCATTATCCGTGTTGAGGAAACAATTTTCAAACTTTTCATGCTACCGTTATTTTAAAGTATAGTCAAACTATACTTTTGGAAAAGTAGTTAGGTATACTATAGGGGTGGAACGGTTCAACTTACTCACGGTTCGGTTTGTATCACGGTTTTAGAGTCACAGTTTCAGTATGTGCTATGTTTAGGCAAAAACTATACTGTCATATAAAAATAAAGAAAATAAGAATAATCTATCTAACTACAAGCAACAGCACAAATAAATACAATAGAGTAAAGACACAAATAAAATAAATAGTGATTTTCAGTTTTTTTAGGTAGGTCTAACATTAGTTTTCCGAAACTGAAATAAAGTAATGAAATGTAAAACAGCATTGCATATTTGACTGTATAAATTAAAGATTCACTGTCCGCCGCCTGGAGACCTCAATCCCCCCCAGGGGCATCGCTAGGCGATTCCCCCCCCCCCCCACTAAAAATTTCGCAATTTGCTCCATAAGCTGTACACAAATTCATGATCGGCTCCTCCCCGTCTTTCAGAGCGTTCTTCAATCCACTGGCCGTGGTGGCGCAGAGTGAGAAACAGAGGACAAGGTGTGTGTTTATCCATAGATTGTTATAATATCTGCATCTGTGCAGTTCTTTGTCATAAAAACAGTTTACAAGATGTCATGGGGGAGCAATCGGTTTTCCCTTCTACAGTAAAGTTTTCGCTGTGCTCACCCCTCATCACACCACACATATGAATGCATACTTTATAAAATGTTGCTATTTTCATTTGAAAATTTAACTTTCAATATAAAACATATTACAGTGCTTGTGGCATTAACTACCATACAGTTATGCACAGAAATGATTGAAGACAGTGACAGACAGTATTTGAGCATAGCAAGAGGTTTGTACTAGA